CCCAGCTATGGGCAAATAGTTGACCCCACAACCTGACTCAAAACACTATGAAAGTGTTAAAACAGATTTTAATGCCAGAAATACTTTTTAAAAAAATTAGTAGCAGCAATAAATATTTGAAAAAAAGAAAATATTACGAGAAGTAAAAATCTTGTCACCATTAACTAACCCATTGAGGTTAATATGCCAGAAAAATAAAACAAACTATGCATTTTTGAAAAAAAAATATTACCTACACATTTCTGAAAAAATTACCAGCTATGCATTTTTGAAAAAAATAAGGAAATTTTGTCGGCATGAAATAACCCATTGTGGTTAATATGCCGTAAAACAAACCAAACCAAACCAAATCGTACAGGGTGTCTCAAAATAATGTATACACTCTTTGAATCGTTATAACTTATTCAATTTATGTATTTTGACTTGTAAATAAGATTAATACAAGAGAAAGAATGCACATTTAAGAATTTGAGAGTAAAATATACAAAAAAACATAGAAAATTAACTTTAATAAGATAAAAGCTACTTGGGACAATGGCAGAATATTCATATAATGATGAGTTCAAGTCAAGTGCTCAAATTGAGTGCCATTCTGTTCAATACACTTTTCATATCTTGAAGAAAAAGACCTACAAACGTCCAGTATTATTTCCTCTGGTATTTGAACACATTCTTCTTCAATTGCTACTCTCATTTCAGAAATTGTTTCAGGTTTTCTGCTGTAAACATTGTCTTTTAGACCCCCCCCCACAAAGAAGAAATCCCAGGGTGCCAAATCTGGTGATCTAGGTGGGTATTCAACTGTCCCTCTTCTTCCAATCCATCTGTTTTGCATATTTTCATCGATATAAACAAAATGTATTATTAACTATTAATATTTAAAGAGTGTATACATTATTTTGGGACACCCTGTATATACCAAACATATCACACGTAAAACCAAGATGTCACTATTTCCCCGGTGACTTTTTTCAGAGCCAAAATTGAGATTTTTTTTTCGTAACTTTCTTTTTATTACCAGCAATGGCAAGACAAACTTAATACCGTCCTGGGTATGACGATAAACCACATCCACGACTTGGGTAAGACGATAAACTCCATCCGACAGCAAGGCCTTTGATCAGGAGATTTTAGGAAGTATGGAACAACCTCGTAATTGCTTGAGTTCCCAGGTTGACCCTGACCCGGGGTGGTAGCACCTATTAGGGTCCCAGCTATGGGTAAATAGTTAAACCCCAGACTTGTGTTAAAACACTATGAAAGTGTAAAAACAGGTTTTAATACCAGCAACACATTTTTGTAAAAAATTATTACTAGCAATGAATTTTTGGAGAAAAGATATTACCCGAAATACATTGTTATCAACAATATTTTTTTAGAAAAAATTTATTACCAGCAATGAATTTTTGAAGAAGCAATTATTACCAATATTACATTATTATCAACAATACATTTTTGCAAAAATATTACAAGCAGTACATTATTACCAGCAATACTTTTTTGGTAAAAAATATTACCAGTAATACATTATTATCTGCAATATGATTTTGGAAAAAAATATTACCAGCAATGAATTTTTGAAGAAAAAAAATATTGCCAGCAATAAAAATCTTGTCGTCATTAAATAACCCATTGAGGTTGGTATGCCGTAAAACAAACCAAACTAAACTAAACCAAATAAACCAATTAGACTTAGATATAAAAAATATTAAAAACAATAAAAAATCTTGTCGTAATTAAACCAAACCCATTGAGGTTGGTATGCCGTAAAAAAACAAACCAAACTAAACCAAACCAAACCAAACCAATATATACTTAGATAGATAAAAAAATATTACCAACAATAAAAATCTTGTCGTCATTAAATAACCCATTGAGGTTGGTATGCCGTAAAACAAACCAAACTAAACCAAACCAAACCAAACCAATATATACTTAGATAGATAAAAAATATTACCAACAATAAAAAATAAATAACCCATTGAGGTTATGCCGTAAAACACTAAACCAAACCAAACCAAACCAATATATACTTAGATAGATAAAAAAATATTACCAACAATAAAAATCTTGTCGTCATTAAATAACCCATTGAGGTTGGTATGCCGTAAAACAAACCAAACTAAACCAAACCAAACCAAACCAATATATACTTAGATAGATAAAAAAATATTACCAACAATAAAAATCTTGTCGTAATTAAATAACCCATTGAGGTTGGTATGCCGTAAAACAAACCAAACTAAACCAAACCAAACCAAACCAATATATACTTAGATAGATAAAAAAATATTACCAACAATAAAAATCTTGTCGTCATTAAATAACCCATTGAGGTTGGTATGCCGTAAAACAAACCAAACTAAACCAAACCAAACCAAACCAATATATACTTAGATAGATAAAAAATATTACCAACAATAAAAATCTTGTCGTAATTAAATAACCCATTGAGGTTGGTATGCCGTAAAACAAACCAAACTAAACCAAACCAAACCAAACCAATATATACTTAGATAGATAAAAAAAATAAACCAACAATAAAAAAACATTAAATAACCCAAATAAAACAAACCAAAATAAACTAAACCAAACCAAACCAATATATACTTAGATAGATAAAAAAATATTACCAACAATAAAAATCTTGTCGTCATTAAATAACCCATTGAGGTTGGTATGCCGTAAAACAAAATAAACCAAATCCAACAAAACTTAATAATTTATCGCTATTGCTATGGCAGATATTCGGATGAGTTATATTGTCAGCCACGGCAAGACAAATCTAATAGGCATTCCTTAATAACGAGGCGTGTGAATCCTTTTGTGCATGCGTTTGTGTGTGTTGGGGACGCGGATGTTGATGGCTCTCCCCAATTTCTTCTCACATTCTATTTTCATGCGAGAATTTACATGTGTTCGCGTGTGTTATTGAATGTCATTGAATCTTGAACTTCAAACATTTAAATGCAATATCAATCCTTATCTCCTGTCATTTTAATTCCTGTTCTTTTATTGTTCTTACCCCTTAATAATGTTTTTCTTGGCATACATGGATCTTTGTGCCCTCCAAAAAACAAAAACAAAAACAAAAAATAAAAATAAATAAAACGACACAGCTTTTATTTTAACTACCTTCAACCTTTTAACTACCTTCAACCTTTTAACTACCTTCACTCCTCGGTAACATTTTAAATGGTGATAATTAGAATTGTAATAAAACCGAAGCATATGATGAAAGTGAATTTTGACATTTTCTTTCCTCATAAGAATTGACAATAAAAATAATAAACATTATTTATTTATTAGATTGTTTATTTACATAATTAATTTCTTATATGGTTTATTGGAATGTTTGGCAAAGCATCGTCTAATTACCAATTGATTCGAACTTTATAAAATGGTAAATAATAAGGATTTACTTATAGTTGGTTCACATATTTTTATAATTTATAAATGTTTATAAATTTATGAATGAAAAATTGTTTTAATATGTATTTCCTTATGAATTGGTAAATGAAAAATATTACATTTCACTAGTCTTAATATAATTGTATTAGCTTTTGGAATGTTGCACATATAAAATTATTCCTGTAAATAGGCAGCCTAATGAATAGTGTTTAATATTTTTTGTTGCAAATTCTCAAGAAGAAAAATAAATGTATAAATTGACTTTCATCATATATTCAGACAGACAGACAGATAGACAGACAGATAGATAGATAGATAGATAGATAGATAGATAGATAGATAGATAGATAGGAACAGACTAAGATAGATAGATAGATAGATAGATAGATAGATAGATAGATAGATAGATAGATAGATAGATATGAACGCATTAAGATAGATTGATAGATATGAACACACTAGGATAGATAGATAGATAGATAGATAGATAGATAGATATGAATAGATAATATAGATAGATAGATAGATAGATAGATAGATAGATAGATATGAACACACTAAGATAGATAGATAGATAGATAGATAGATAGATAGATAGATAGATAGATAATGAACACACTAAGATAGATAGATAGATAGATAGATAGATAGATAGATAGATATGAACACATACTAAGATAGATAGATAGATAGATAGATAGATAGATAGATAGATAATGAACACATAAGATAGATAGATAGATAGATAGATAGATAGATAGATAGATAGATAGATAGATAGATAGATAATGAAACACAAGAAGATAGAGATAGATAGATAGATAGATAGATAGATAGATGTGGCAAACATAGACGTTCGCTCTTCGTTAATATTTATTGTTTTTAAAAGCAATTATTAAAATCGTAACCAAACCTAAACATATGAATGTGGTTTGATACATTTTCTTTTTTTCTTGAAAAATGACAATAAAAATAATAAACACTATTTACTTATTACCATGTTTATTTACACTATTTATTTATTGTATTGTTTATTTCAATGGTTAGAAAAACATCGGCCAATTGCCTACTGATCTGGACTTTATAAAATGGTAAATAATAAGAATTTACTTATAGTTGTTTCACATATTTTTATAATTTAGCAAATGTTTGCCAATGTATGAATAAAAATTGTTTTACATTTATTTCTTTATAAATTGGTAAATAATAAATATTCCATTGCATCGGTCTTAATGAAATTGTATTAGTTTTTTGAATGTTGTAAATATAAAATTATTCTTGGAAATACATAATCTAATAAATAGATTTTAATATTTTTATTGTAAATTCTCAGGAACAGAAATATATAAATTTACTTTCATATCTTTATTTTTTTTATTACAATTCTAATAATCGACTTTTAGAACAATAAACATTGCAGAGAAGTAAAGATAGTTAAAAAAAAAAGTGATGTCATAGGAAAAACCGTCATTTTGATATTGCGTTTTTGTTTTTTTTGTGGGCACGAATGTCTATGTTTACCTTTTTTTTACCTTTCTTTATTAACACCCCTTGCACCTTAGTGGTTTTATTGCCTTACTTGTGTTGAG